CACACATATATTAAAAGTAATCCTGCTTGTTCAAGGCAATTAAAAATTTTAAAAGGCCGGGCCAAGATTTGTGCAAGCCCCAAAATTCTAGGGGGCCTGGGAATTAAGTGCAATGCTAAGGCAGGCAACAATAATATTAGGTACGGGTCTGTGGCTGTTCATTCCGGGGCCAATTAGAGGAAAGGATCTGGGTAATTGGTAGGAAGAATAAGGCCGTATTCGACAATGTGTAGGGCTGAGTTAGAACTGGTCATTTTCAAAGGCTTGTTGAAACCACCAGGACTTCAAGCTCTTACGAAAGGAGGGGAGGGATGGGGCCTGTCTTATTTCCCTTGGAAGGGCATTCCAGAGGAGGGGGGCCACCACCGAGAAGGCCCTCTCTCTCATCCCCATCAACCGTGCTATTTTAGTTTTGATGGACCACTGATGGTCAAGGTTGGGAACCACTAGTTTAAATCCACCCATTGTATCTTTCTAACCATTGTCTTTATCCCCCATTTAAACTTAAATCACATTATTACTGAATAGGCATGCAATGAAGATAATAGAAAGCTCTTCAAATCGCAATTAAAAACAACAGTTCTGAGTTACTGGTAGCAGAAACAGCAATGCAACAAAAAACTTTAAAAGATTTCCAGGAAGTGTTTTGAGGAATTTTGCTCCTCCACAGATTATATTAAAAGAGACACTCACTCCATTTCATTGCTGGTTAACCACAAAGTGCTTTAAGTCACAAACTTGCAGAAATAGATTATGGTTTCTTAAAGATCTTACATGTAGCATAATTTCACAACCAGTGGCACCAACTTACATAAACTCAGCAATATTTAGATTTGCATTTATTTTCTGAAGTTTCATTTAAAAATAAGAATATTTTAGTGTGTATATATTTTGCTCTGAGATCAGAGTGAAGAGAGAGGCCAGGAAGACAGTTCCATCTTGCACTGTGCTTATAATACAATACAATACAATACAATACAATACAATACAATACAATACAATATAATATTGTATATACATATAATATTTATAACATTATAATGTAATACAATATAATGCTACTAATAATAATATGATATTATAATTATATATTTTATATTACATGTAATATTACCAATAATATTACAGTATAATGTTATAATACAATATAATAATGTGTAATATTAATATTGTGCTATGGTAATAATATAATATATTGTATTTACATTTTACTTGTAAGCCGCTCTGAGTCCCCTTCAGGATGAGAAGGGCAGCATATAAAGGTCGTCAATAAATTTTATATATATATATATATATATATATATATATATATATATATATATATATATATATACACACACACACACAGACACACACCATACACAAACACACAGACACACACACAAATATTCTTATTTTTGAATGAAACTTCAGAAAATTATATATATATATATATATATATATATATATATACACACACACACACACACAAAAACTCTTTACTATTGAATGTTAGGCATATGAGTAAAACAATATATACAAAGAACACAAACTAATTGGGGTCTCTTTTAGAGAACACCTACAATAAGCCTGCCCTCTGTGCTCAAAAACAATGCCGAATCCAAGTATACATGCAAATGGTCGGAAGCAGTGCCAACAATCTTTCCAAAAACTGTTCTTGTAAGAAAGCTTCCTGCTTTTTCTAATTTTCTAGTTCATACACTATGTAAACAGCCATGCTGCTTGTGCTGTATAAGCAAGAACCCCCAGTGGCGCAGTGGAGCCCCAGTGGCGCAGTGGGTTAAGCCCTGTGCCGACAGGACTGAAGGTCACAGGTTCAAATCCGGGGAGAGGCGGATGAGCTCCCTCTATCAGCTCCAGCTCCTCATGCGGGGACATGAGAGAAGCCTCCCACAAGGATGATAAAACATCAAATCATCCGGGCGTCCCCTAGGCAATGTCCTTGCAGACGGTCAATTCTCTCACAACAGGAGCGACGCAGTTTCTCAGGTCGCTCCTGACACGACAAAAAAAAAAAAAGAAAAAAGCAAGAAACACATGTTGTCAACTAGCTTGCATTAAGCTTATATTTGTGGGTTCTGCAAATCCATAGCTGACAGGTGGCACTTGTCTGCTAGCTTTAAGAAAGCTTTCTCAAAGCTTTGGGACATACGACCTTGACATGCAAGATACCAAAACTGCATTACATTTAACAACAAGCTCAATTTTTGAGAGTGAAAAGAATTTAGCAGAAGTGCCATGACAGTGGTCCCAACCTTTTTTATTTTACCAGAGACCACTTAACTAAGTACCGCTTGACCAGGGGCCACTTAGACCAGGGACCACTTAGACCAGGGACCACTTAGACCAGGAGCCACTTAGACCAGGAGCCACTTAGGCCAGGGACCACTTGACCAGGGGCCACTAAGACCAGGGACCACTTTGACCAGGAGGCACTTAGACCAGGGACCACTTTGACCAGGAGCCACTTAGACCAGAGACCACTTTGACCAAAAACCTCTTTGACCAGGGACCTCTTTGACCAGGGACCTCTTTGACCAGGGGCCACTAAGACCAGGGACCACTTTGACCAGGAGCCACTTAGACCAGGGACCACTTTAACCAAGAACCACTTCACAAGGGACCACTTAGACCAGGGACCACTTTAACCAAGAACCACTTGACAAGGGACCACTTAGACCAGGGACCACTAAGACCAGGGACCACTTTGACCAGGAGCCACTTAGATCAGGGACCACTTTAACCAAGAACCTCTTTGACCAGGGACCACTTTGACCAGGGGCCACTTTGACCAGGAGCCATTTAGACCAGGAACCACTTTAACCAAGAACCTCTTTGACCAGGGACCACTTAGACGAGGGACCACTTAGACTAGGGCCCACTTGACCATGGGCCACTTTAACCAGGGACCACTTGACCATGGACCAGTTTGACCAGTGGCCACTTTGACCAGGGACCATTTTGACCAGGGACCACTTAGACCAGGGGCCACGTAGACAGATTCAGTTTGGATATTTTGGGTGCTGATTCAGAAAACTATTGGATAAACCACATCAGCTCTAGTTTCTGATACAGAACATATGTAGTCCAGTAGCTGCCATCTGCTCACCCTCAGAAAACCATGTTTAATAATCTAGAGCCGCAGACCTCATTTTAGGTATCTTGGCCCACCAGTGGGCCGCAGCCCACGAGTTGGTAACCACTGTGCTATGAGAATGAAATTGATGCAATAGAAATAGAGTCCCTGAATCATTGTTTTAAAGTGACATGGGACTCTTGCAACGGGATATCCAGAAGTCATTACCTTCCTGCTACTCCAAATGCATCAAGGAAGGTGTTGGACAATTATGGCAGGTGTTGACAGGAAAATCTCTTGGGCTGAAATACTGAGGAACATGCTGTCACTGTGCATACAGAGAAGGGTTTTATTGAAGCTGTCTGGACTATGAAAGAATGCAAGTTACCTAGTCTGAAATGGAAGGAAAAGGCCTAGCTAACGTAAACAGATTGAACTGCATAGACATTAGTCTGCATAAAGAAGAGTACAAACAAAGAGTACAAACAAAGAACTAACAAAGCTTAGTTCTTATATATATTTGCAAACATTAAAAGCAATACAAGTCTTAAAAATAAACTCATCATAGTATCTGATAAGGTCTAAGCTCTACACAAAAATTAATAGCCACTGGAGAATAATAATCACTATGGCACAGACCATACAGAGTGTATTCAATGATGCCAGGTCTCTGTAACCAGTGAACTATGAAACTGGATATGGGCACAAGCAAGCACCGTATGGACCATGACACCCCTCTCTTGTCATCTTTGGCACGCAGCAAAGACAGAGAAGCAATGGTGTCTTTGGCATGATGATCTCCAAATATTGGAAGCTTAAGTTATGTATCGAAACAAGTAATGGCTAATTTCAGTATCAAGCATACCCTGAAGAGACTGATTACATTGCTGAAGCTAAACATGCAGTACACTTTCAAAAGATGTATACCAATGCCAAACAAACAGTCTGTAGCAAATTGCATTTACATATTGTAGGGACTGGAAGTAATGAATCCCACACCCACTTTCCTAAACAAGAGCTGTGTGGAAAATAATGGTACTGTTGAAAGATTTTACCAAATGGAAGACCTTACTATGATACCATAATACAATAAGTATTAATACTTATTAATTATAAGTATTTATTATTATTAATAATAATAATTATTAATACTGTTAATGGTATAAATATTTTGCCAAATGGAGGGCCTCACTATGATACTATAATACTATAAGTATTAATACTTATTAATTATAAATATTAATATTTATTATTAATATTTTACCAAATGGAAGGCCTCACCATACTATAATACTATAAGTATTAATCCTTATTAATTATAAGTATTAATTATTATTATTATTATTATTAATTATTAATACTGTTAATGGTATAAACATTTTACCAAATGGAGGGCCTCACTATGGTACTATAATACTATAAGTATGAATACTTATTAATTATAAGTATGTATTATTATTATTAATTAGTAATACTGTTACTGGTATAAACATTTACCAAATGGGGCCTCACTATGATACTATAATACTATAAGTATTAATACTTACTAATTATAAGTATTAATATTTATTATTATTAATTATTAATACTGTTAATGGTATAAACGTTTTATCAAATGGAGGGCCTCACTATGGTGCTATAATGTAATTTTCAGAATCCATGGGCACAGCAAAATATATTTACGAACCTACTGAAAACATTATTATATTTCTAATAGTCAGTTAGTTTTGTACAAAATGAGTAACTCTGTTTTGATAAAGCACCTACGTAAATGAATAAATACTCAGTCTACATTAGAAGACCCTTAAATATTTGTCCCATGTGTATTCCTCAAGATAAATCCATATTAATAACATCAAACTACAGCTTCAAAGTCAGGTCAGGTCAGCCTTGAAGGCAATGCAGTAATTGTGAGGCAGCTGACCGTTAAGGAGGGGAATAGTCCAGAAAGCAGTGGGATCTCCTGGGCTTTTGACCCATTTCCTTGCTTTGTTCCACTCTGACTCCTGCTTCCGGTGCAAGGGTCTCGGATCTCACTGGCTTTGCTGACTTGCAATCCTTTCGTATGCAGGAAATGCATGCTGTTTGGATGTCTGTTCTTTCTCATTGCAATCGGGTTAGACACAGTTGCAACTTTCCTATCAGGTAAAAAAGCACAGGGCCAGTAGCACTGATCCAGATTCCTCGCGAAGAAGGAAGTCTTTGAAGGCCTTGGGAAAAGAGAGGTGACCTCCTGCATTTTAATTTGTTCCTTCACTGCATCCAATATTGAACCTATTCTTTTCTCTTTGGTTGTAACAAACTGAGCCGCGGACACGGTCTCCGACACAGCATGGAATGTTGTTTCACTTGCCTGGGATAAAGCTGTCTTACTTTTCTTTGGCGAAGGATCCAGGCTGTTGTTGTTTTTGAGGGCTGCGTCCTTCAGAGGTGGCAGTACAAGGGACGGCTTCGTGGCAGGAGCTTCGGAGCCTACTTGGTTACACGCAAAGGGGTCACTGCTCTTGATGTCCTTATGCTTCTGGGCTTCTATACCCTTGAACTTTCCTGGGGACAGGATATTAAACTCTTTGATTGGCACCGCTTTCTTTTCTACTTGCAATACTGAGCTTTCCTTCATGAGATAAAACTTCCTTTCGTTTAGAGACGATGGAACATCCTTTAAGATCATTCTTGCCTTTTCTTCTTGGGGTGTCTGGAGGGAAAGTATTCTGCCATAATAGCTTTCTTTTTTGATGTCGTCTACTGCAGAAGGGGATGTTATGGCTGTACTTGAGGAAAGCAGAGCTTGTGGCTTTTGTGGAATACTGTCTGTGGCAGCACATCGGCTCGATCTGAAATCGGATTTCAGTTGATCTATAATCTTGGGATCTTGTTCCAAACCTTTGTCAATCACTTGCATCAGATCCGAGCAATATAGGCACCCACTGACAGACTCGCTTGGTCTTGTCTTTCTAGCTCTCTTTTGTAACTGCAGATGAGCAAAGGGGGGTGTTTTGCTCCAGCCTTGGACCTGAGTAAACAACAAGTATCAATACAAGTTAGGTAAAGCATGTGTGTGAGAGAGAAACAAAAGAAATAAAACACAACTAGCACCTGATTTGCGATTTTAAATAGCATCAGAACTAAATTAATAGTGTCGTATATACTCGAGTATAAGCTGACCCGAATATAAGCCGAGACACCTAATTTGATACCAAATGAGAGACTCCCCCCTGGGCACACAGAAGACTGGGCGACTTGGAAGGTGCTGAACAGACTGGTTCCGGCACCACAAGATGCAGAGCCAATCTTAAGAAATGAGGCTACAAAGTGGAATCCACGACATGCAAGTGTGGAGAAAAGCAAACCATTGATCACCTGCTGCAATGCAATCTAAGCCCTGCCACATGCACAATGGAGGACCTCCTTGCGGCAACACCAGAGGCACTCCAAGTGGCCAGATACTGGTCAAAGGACATTTACACAACTACCAAGCTTGCAAACTTTGTGTTTTGTCTGTCTGTTTGTTTTGTTCTGTTAGAAATTGTCTGGTTGCCCCTGACACGATAAATAAATAACCATAAAAAAATCTGGGAAAGCGTTTTGACTCGAGTGGGAAATGCAGCAGTTACTGGTAAATTTCAAAATAAAAAATAGATACCAATATAACTACATTAACTGAGTCACCGATAAGGCTGAGAGAGGCGGTATACAAGTATAGTAAATAAATAAATAAATAAATAAATAGGTAGGTTCAATGTTTTTGAATATTTACATAAAACTGTAATTTAAGATAAGACTGTTCAACTTTGATTAAATCCATTATTCTAGCCTTCTTCAATGTAAATGTGCTTACATATCTATATAAATAAAAATGTAATGTTCGTTTGTGCTGTTCACAGAACTCAAAACCCCTGGATGAATTGGCACCAAATTTGGACACGATACACCTAACAACCCAATGTATGTTCTCCACTCAAAAAAACCATGAAAACAAAAAGCAGAAAGGACTTCTGAACTGCATGTCCACAAAGGAGAAACTGCATGTCTACAAAGAGACCCATGGCCACGTCCCCTCCTCCTCGAGGGGAAACAGCTGGCCATTAAAGCTTGAGCCAGGCGCGCGTGCATGCCCCCCCCCAACACACACACACAAGCGAGAGTGGGCACCATGGGAGTGGAGGGGGAGGCTTGGCGCATGGAGCCCCTTCTCTTTCCCTGCTATGCCAGGAAGGCGGTCTCCTCCTCCTCCATCTTTCCCTGTTGGAAGAGGCCAACGGGTAGGGGATGGACGTTCTGTAGACCCTTCTTTCTTTTTTTAACTCTTTCCTTTCTCTCTGACCTGCTCGCCTGTCTCCGACAACATGAGCACACACTTAACACACACACAACAGGAGGTAGCTGCCTCTGCCACACTCCACCCGAAAGGACTCCCTTCCCTTCTTTCCTCCCTCCCTTTCTTTCCTTTTCTTCCTTCCTTCCCCTTCCCTTCCTCCTCTCCTCCTTCCTTCCTGTCCCTCCCTCCTTCCCTCTCCTTTCCTTTACTTATTTCCCTTCCTTCCTTTCCCTCCTTTCCTCTTCCTTTTCTTCTTTTCCTTCCTCCCCCTTCCTTTCCTCCTTCTTTCCCTTTCTTCATTTCCTTCCCCTTCATTTCCTTCCCTCCCTCCTTTCTTCACCCCCTCCTTCCTTGCCCTCCTTCCTTCTCCTTCCCCTCCTTCCTTCCTTCCTTCCTTCCTTCCTTCCTTCCTTTCTTCCTCCCTGTCCCTCATTCTTTCTTTTCCTTCTCTTCTTTCCCTCCTTCCTTCCTTCTTCCTTTCCTTCTTTCTATGTAAGATATAAATACAATATTTTATATATTGTTATATAGATTACTATATAATATATTACTATTATATATTACAAATTAAATGGAAGGGACAGTCAAGAAGTAACGAGGGAAAGAGGGAAGGAATGAAGGAGGGAAAGGGGAAGGAAAGAAGGAAGGAGACAAGGAGGAAGGGAAAGAAGAAAGGAAAGAAAGAAAGGTAGAGAAGTAAGGAAGGAGAGAGAAAAAAAAAAAGTGAAAGGAAAAAGAGAGGGAAAGAAGGAGAGAAGGAACGAAGGAAGGAAGGAAGGAAGGAAGGAAGGAAGGAAGGAAGGAAGGAGAGAAGGAAGGATGCAACCAAAGAGCAAAGAAGGGGGGAAAGAAACAGGTAGAGATGGAAGAAAGAAGAGAAATAGGAAGGGAAAGAAATAGAGGAAAGGAAGGAAAGAGGGAAGGAAGGAAAGAAAGAGGGAGGGAAGTTTGGCCACAGCAACGTGTGGCAGGTACAGCTAGTCCTTCCAATAATAATAAACAAGAATAAAATAATAAATGTAATAATAACAAAAAAGAGTAAAATAATAAATGTAATAATAACAATACTAATAAATAGAGTAAAATAATAAATGTAATAATAAAAATAATAATAAGAGTAAAATAATGGAAATGTAATAACAGTAATAATAGTAAAATAATAAATGTAATAATAATACAGTAAAACAATAACTGTAATAATAACAAAATAGAGTGCAATAATAGATGTAATAACAATAATAGAATAAAATAATAAATATAATAATAACTAGAGTACAATAATAAATGCAATAATGATAATGATAAATAGAGTAAAATAATGAATGTAATAATAACAATAATAGAATAAAATATTAAATTATTTATTTATTTATTTATTTATTGTATTTATATATCGCTTTTCTCACCTCTGGGGGGACTCAAAGCAGTTTACACAGAGATAATGGCAATAAATGTAATAATAGAGCAAAATAATAAATAATGAAAATAATAACAGATTAAAATAATGTAAATGTAATAATAATAATAGAGTAAAATAATAAATGTAATTGATAATAATAATAATAATAATAATAACAACAGAGTAAAATAATAAATAACTTTGACTCAAGTATAAGCCGAGGGGAGGGGGGGTTCAGCCCTAAAAAAGGGCTGAAAAACTCAGTTTATACTCGGGTATATACGGTAATTGCTTTCCCATTGTAACTACAAGTCAAGCAATAGGAAAATATTTTCCCTTCTTAAATAAGGGGGCAGTCAGTCCAAAGTTACTAGGCAACTATGAAGGCATTGTCAAGGAATTCAGTCGAAATTATTCAGTGAGGTTGATCAGAGCTAGCTCCCAAACTCTTGCTACAATCACTTTTTAAAGGGCCAAGCTACGCATACCCAGCTCACGCCTGAACTTCAATCACAATTACATAAAGTGACCAAACTGTTAATTATTTTGATTTTTACATTGTGTATCAAGATGTAATCATTCAAAACAAATTGTCTGATAGTATTCATTTACAAACTAAGTACTTTTTATTTAAAAAAGAAATCATTAATGACTTAAATATGAATTTTCACAAGATAGTATTCTCACTCACAGCATCCTCCCATCCTGTTCCATTAATGTAGTCGAAGGATTTTTCCTCTTGTTCGTTGACACTATTACTGATGTTCAAAAGAATGTAAATTTGATTTCTCTCCCGCCTCTCGCTCGGATAGGTGCAGCGCAGTTCTATTTCCGCATTTCTTGTATTGGTGGTGACTCTTTCGGAATCAATTGTGTTTTGTTTCTGTTCAGAGGAGGTCATAACCGTTGCTGACTCTGCAGGTTGTATGCCTTATTCCTACAGAAGATGGTTTATGAAATGACCCAATCAGGCAATGGATTTTATATTTTTTAAAAATAGTAATAATAATCATAGGTATGGTTATATCTTTCGTTGCCCAAGTTTCGCAAGATGGTAATGTGATCAGTTTGGGTTACTCCAAGTAACTTGGCCCAGGAAGCTTTGTTATCAGTATCATCCTTTTAGTCCCAAAACTGGCCTAAATGCTCAGTATTATTCTACTGACAACAGGCTATCATCCCAGACTTTTCCTTGCATCTAGGAGCATTTCATCTGCCTCATGTAGCTGTGCTAGGGTATCCCCTAACAGCAATGCACTACATCACAATTGTGGCATTCACAATAATCAAGGTGATACAAGGATTAATTACCCCCATCCTTTCCAGACACAGGTTTGGAAAAAGCGATGGCTTTACTGTTTTGTACTAGATCAGGACTACGCCTGTTTGGATATCAGCCAGCATGCCAACGCCTTAAATCAAGAAACAACTTCCTAAAATCTACAGCACATTCGGGCAAATCCAGGCCCGGAGGTCAGATGCGGCCCTTTGAGCTCTTTTTTCTTTTGTCAAACCATCTTATCCTTCATTCCTTCTCTTTCCTTCCTCCTTTCTTCCCTCTTTCTCCTTCCCTTCCACCCTTTCATCTCCCCCCCCCTCTCTTTCTCTTTCCTTCCTTCTCTTTCCTTCCTCCTTTCCCTTTCTCCCTCCCTCCATTCTCTACCAATCTTTTGCCCTTCCTTCCCTCTCTTTCTCCTTCCATCCTTCCTTCCTTCCCACCCTTTTATTCTTCCTTCCTTCCTTCCCTCTTCCCTCCCTCTCCCTTTTCCCATCCTTCCTTCCCTTCTTTCCTTCCCTTTTCTTTCCTTCCTCCTTCCCCTTTCTCCCTTCCTCCATTCCCTTCCTTTCCTCCCTTACTCCTTCCATCTTTCCTTCCCTTCCCCCCTTTTGTTCTTCCTTCCCTCCCTCTCTCTTTTTCCTTCCCTCCTTCCTTCCCTTTTATCTTTCTTTCCTTCCCTTTTCTTTCCTTCTCTTTCCTTCGTCTTTCCCCTTTCTCCCTCCCTCCATTCCTTTCCACCCTTTCTCCTTCCATCCTTCCTTCCCTTCCAACCTTCCTTCTTCCCTCCCTCCATTCTTCCTTCCCTTTTGTCTTTCCTCCCTACTTCCCTCTTTTTCCTTCCATCCTTCCCTTCCTCCCTTTCATCATTCCTTCCTTCTCTCTTTCCTTCATCCTTCCTTCCCTCTTTCTCCTTCCTTCCCTTTTCTTTCCTTCCTTCTCTTTCCTTCCCCTTTCTCCCTCCCTCCATTCCCTTCTACCTTTTTGTCCTTCCTTCCCTCCCTTTCTCCTTCCATCCTTTCATCCTTCCTTCCCTCTTTCCTCCCTCTCTCCCTCCTTCCTTCCCTCCCTACTTTCCTCTCTTCCTCTTTTTCCTTCCATCCTTCCCTTCCTCCCTTTCATCTTTCCTTCTTTCCCTCTTTCCTTCATCCTTCCTTCCCACTTTCTCCTTCCTTCCCTTTTCTTTCTTTCCTTCTCTTTCATTCCTCTTCCCCCTTTCTCCCTCCCTCCATTCCCTTCTACCCTTTAGTCCTTCCTTCCTTCCCTTTCGCCTTCCATCCTTTCATTCTTCCTTCTCTCTTTCCTCCCTCTCTCCTTCCTTCCTTCCTTCCTTCCCTTTTGTCTTTTCTTCCCTTCCCTTCCTTTCATCTTTCCTTCCTGCTCTCTTTCCTTCCTCCTTTTCTTCCTTTCTTCCATCACTGGGCAGCCAGTCCTCCTAGCAGGGAGTGCTAGCAGAGATGGGCCAAGACTAACAAAATGAAGTTCAACAGTGACAAATGCAAGATACTCCACTTAGGGAAAAATGAAATGTAAAGATACAGAAAGGGGGACAATGCCTGGTTCGATAGCAATACACGTGAAAATGATCTTGGGAGTCCTCGTGGACAGGAAGGTGAACATGAGCCAACAATGTGATGCAGCAGCTTTAAAAGCCAATGGGATTTTGGGCTGCATCAATAGGAGTTTGTCTCTATATCTAGGGAAGTCATGCTACCACTCTGTTCTGCCTTGGTCAGACCACATCTGGAACACTGTGACCAATTCTGGGCACCACAATTGAAAGGAGACGTCAACAAGCTGGAATGTGTCCAGAGGAGGGTAACCAAAATGATCAAGGGTCTGGAGAACAAGCCCTATGAGGAGCGGCTTAAAGAGCTGGCCATGTTTAGCCTTCAGAAGAGAAGGCTGAGAGGAGACATGATGGCCATGTATAAATATTAGGCCTGGTCTAATTAAAATTTAATTATTATTTCATTATTGGTGATTTTTATGATAGAACTAATTAGGAACTGCCTTTTATAATGAAATTTTGAGAGTTTTGTTAAAGTTCTGAAATTTTCACCACCAGAACTTTAGTTTTGTAAGTACTTTAGAACCATTTAGAAGCATGGATTGACCAGGCCTAATAAATATATGAGAGGAAGTCATAGGGAGGTGGAAGCAAGCTTGTTTTCGCTGCCCTGGAGACTAGGATGCGCAACAATGGCTTCAAACCATCTGATTCAACAACCAGTGGAGATTAGCCATTGGCAAACTTCGGCCCTCCGGGGTTTTTGGACTTCAACTTCCAGAATTCCTAACAGCCGGGAGGTTAGATGGGAAGTGATAATAATAATAATAATAATAATAATAATAATAATAATCTAGATTATTGGTTTTGATAATGTGGATTGCACGGCAGTGTAGAAAGGGACCGAATCTACACTGCTGTATAATCCAGTTTCTGCAGCTTGATTTTCCACTCAGCCATAGGAAGCCATTGTGTGGTCTCAGGTTAGTCACACTCTCTCAGCCCCAAGAACAAAGAAACAAAGGCTGATGGGTCCATCATCACCCACAAACAACTTGAAGGTCCACAAGCACCACGACATTCAGCACAAGCTCTGAAGTGCCCTCAGATGTAGACATCCAGCATGGAAACTCAACTCTGCACACGCTCAGAGATCCCCTTCTACACTGCCATATAAAATGCAGATTATTTTATTTGAACTGGATTATATGGCAGTGTAGACTCAGGCCTCTTCTACACTGCCATGTAATCCACATTATCAAAACCGATAATCCAGATTAGTTGATCTGAACTGGATTATATGGCAGTGTAGACTCCCATCTCTTCTACACTGCCATATAATCCACATTATCAAAGCCAATAATCCACATAATCTATTTTAGACTGAATTATATGTGTCTACACTGCCATATAATCCAGTTTAAAGCAGATAATGAGTGTTAGTATCTGCTTTGACACACGGCCATATAAAATCCGAATTATCTGCTTTGAACTGGATTATGGGTTTATGCTGCCATATAATCCAGTTCAGAGCACATAAAGTAGTTTAGTATCTGCGTTGATAATGTGGATTATATGACAGTGTAGATCCAGCCTAAGGCTCCTTTGACCCATATACATAGCTTTATAAAATCCGGATTATCCGCTTTGAACTGGATTATAAGAGTCTACACTGGCATATAATCTAGTTCAGCACAGATAATCTGGACTGTATATGGCAGAGTAAATGAGGCCTTCTACACAGCTTTTGAAATCCCTATTATCTGCTTTGATCTGGATTATAAAAGTCTACACCTCCATATAATCCAGTTCAGAACAGATAATCCGGATTTTATAAGGCAATGTAAATGAGGCCTTCTATGCTGCTTTATAAAATCTGGATTATCTGCTCTGAACTGGATTATACAAGTCTACAGTGGCATACAATCCAGTTCAGAGCAGATAATCTGGACGGTATATGGCAAAGTAAATGTGGCCTTCTACACGGCTCTTGAAATCCTTATTATCTGCTTTGATTATTATTATTATTATTATTATTATTATTATTATTATTATTATCTGCTACACTGTCATATAACCCAGTCAAGAGCAGACAATCCAGATTTTATAAGGCAATGTAAATGAGGCCTTCTACGCTGCCTTATAAAATCTGGATTATCTGATTTGAACTGGATTATACGAGTCTACCCTGCCATATAATCCAATTTAGAGCAGACAATCCAGGTTTTTATGAAGTGCCGAAGGGCCCCCACGTAATCCAGTTCAAAATGAGGAAGAGTAACTGCTTTGATACATGACCATATAAAATCCGGTTTATGTGCTTTGATCTGGCTTATATGAGTCTACATTGCCACCCCTTACCTTCTTCTTGGCGCAGGCTCTTCTTCTTCTTCTTCTCCTTCCTTCCTTCCTTCCTTCCTTCCTTCCTTCCTTCCTTCCTTCCTTCCTTCCTTCCTTCCTTTCCTTCCTTCCTTCCTTCCTTCCTTCCTTCCTTCCTTCCTTCCTTCCTTCCTTCCTTCCTTCCTTCCTTCTTCTGACGTCACGGGCCTCGAGCCCCCATCCCTCGAAGCCGTTGGTTGCCATGGAGACGCTTGTGAAGGAAGAGAAGGGAGCGCGCGCCCGGGAAGGGAGGGGCGAGGGAACAATGAGTGCGAGCGCGCGCGAGGGAGGAAAAAAAGGGCGGGAAAAGAAGCTGAGGGAAATAATAGGCCTACCTACCTACCATTTAGTTTCATTGACTATTCTAAAGCCTTTGACTGTGTGGATCATAATAAATTGTGGCAAGTTCTTGGTAGAATGGGCATCCCAAGCCCCCTTCCCTCTCTCCTGAGGAATCTGTACAAGGACCAAGTAGCAACAGTCAGAACTGACCACGGAACAACAGACTGGTTCAAGATTGGGAAAGGCGTACGGCAAGGCTGCATACTCTCACCCAACCTTTTTAACTTGTATGCAGAACACATCATGCGAGGAGGTGCGGGGCTGGATGAATGCAAAGCTGGGGTGAAAATTGCTGGAAGAAACATTAACAACCTCAGATATGCAGATGACACCACTCTGATGGCCGAAAGCGAGGAGGAGCTGAGGAGCCTTCTAATCAAAGTGAAAGAAGAAAGCGCAAAAGCTGGGTTGCAGCTAAACATCAAAAAAA